GCTCGCCCCGCCCCGCCCCGCCGCGCAACTTTCCCCAAGCTTGACGCGGGCCGGGTCGTGGTGCGGCGCGGCACTTTCTAGGAGCGCGCGTCTGGACAACCATCAACGGGACGACGACGAGGAGCTGCAGAGCGGCAAGTTCAAGTCGGGGCCACAAGTTTATGCAACAGCAGCCGTGCCGCATAGGCAGCCTAGCCGTGTATGTACCGTGCCTACCCACGCCGCGCCAGGCCCAGGCCAGCCCTTCCCTTCGGCTGGCGTGAGTCCCACCGATCAGAACCACCCCCACTACCCCAGCCCCGCCGTATGATTTGAAGAACTTCTTTGTCCTGGACATAACCAGAAAGAACCCAACTCTGCCTGGGGAGGGGCTGGGCCCGCTGGGCCCCTGAGCAAGGACGAAGGAAGGAGAGGGCCCCGAGCGAGTGCGGCAGGCCGGGGGAGGCAGGGGGAGGGAGAGAGGGGGGGGGTCGAAAAAGACATTCCCCATTGATTTACCCTGCAGCGCCCTGCCCGCCTACTGTACAGGGTTACACGACCCCGCCCGGGCAGGACCTCCTGAGTACCTGCAGGATGGGGTACCTCTGTATTTCTCTGTTTCTCGCGCTGCGTGCTGCGCGGTGCTGCGGGACCGCCTCGCCCGAGCCTCGCCCGCCTCCAGGGAATAGAACCAACGAACGCATCCGGCAGAATACGCGCCTGGCGGAATTCGACACGGCTCGGCGAAGGATTTGCAACGAGGCGCCTCGCAGCTCTCGCCCCGTCTCTCTCTGTCTCCTTATTATGTGCGATCAGCCGAGAGAGAAATGGTCATGTCAATACCCCAGGCCCGGCGGGCCGGCGGGCCGCGCGCGGAGTAATTTGCCCATAAGGTTAGCATTCCTCGGCCTGTAAAGTCCGATTCCGAACAGCACTTCGTCGCTCTGTCTCTGTCGCACCTGGACGTGGCGCCCCATGACTGCGAGAGAGACGGGGCGAAACAGCTGCCTGCTGGCGCGGGGCGGCGCGTATCGACGAGTCAATTCCTTTCCCAGCGAGTATACAACGCCGCTGACGCTGACACCCGGCCGAGCCACGGGGCCGCCACAGTTCGGCATGTTCGGCCCCGATACCCGAACCGGCGAAGCACGGCGACGAAGCCTCCCGACCATTCGATCCGTCCCCGGCCATCGGCATCGGCCATCGGCAAGACAGGGGACGGGGCGGGCAGCCCTGCCGTCTCCGAGAACACCGTCATCGTAGTCACCGTCGTCGTGTGTCGACCGCCGTGGTACGTACTGCTGTTTCCTCGTTCAAGCCGGTGACCCCCACCTCCTGTTCCCACCCCAGCGGCAGAACGCTGACCTCTGACCTCCCCGCTCGGGGCAAGGACCGCGAGAGGGAAGTGAAGTGAGATGAGGTTGGCAGGGGGAGGGGAAGGTGCGCGATCCGGGCGAGACGTCCGCGACCATGTCCACGTCGGGAAGACACGTCCAATTAAAACCGTACCGATTCCCATTTATTTGGCCTTAATGGCGGAGGCGCCCCGCGACGCCCTGCAGCAATAACAGCGCAATTACGGCGATTATGGCCGGCGGCCCGGCAGGCCCGGCACCCCGCGACAGGGCTCGGCTCGGCGCGGCTCGGCTCGGCTCCAGCCTCTAAACAATGCTCTAATCAGCGGCGCCATTGTTCCGTCAACGACTGAACTGTCCTTGGCGACGCGATGCAGCGGAGCAGGCGGAGCCTCTCCACGACGGCAACGTCGTCGATGGGCGCGGCGGTGTTATACATTTACAGCGCCGCGAGCGCGACCGCCCCTCCTGGATCCTGGTTCGGGCCCCGGGACCGGAACTGGGACCGCCCATGAGGAGCGGCTCTGGCGGCTCTGCCCGCTTCGAACACCGCTTCGGACCGGACTCGAAATGTAACCCGGGCGGGCCAGATGTAACCGAGGCGGAGCGGAGCAGAGCGGAGCACTGCCTGCCGCGCGGCTTGCCGGCAAAGCGGGCAAAGCGGGCAAAGCCAGCACCGGCAGCCGATCAATATGAAGCTATGCGCTGTGCCCGGCCCCGCGCCCCGCCGCCCCGCGCCGCCACCGCCCGTCACATCGCGTGCATCCAAGAGAGTTAGTTAAAAGCTTAGGTACCTTCCTCCCTCCCCTTTCCGCTCCGCCCCGCCCCGCTCCGCCCTCGGGGGAGCCCCGTCTCAGCTCATCTCCGGTCCCATTCAAGGCAGCGAGTCCAACTCATTTGTGTGGCGTGCCGTGGCCCGTTTGAACCAACACCCAGTTGTAGGAGTGGTCCAAGTCCCAGGCCCACGTCCCAGCGGTGCACCGCCCTACGCCCTGGGCGGCCCTGGGCCACGGCGGCGGCGTGGCACGGCGCGACCCGTCTCTCTCCAGCCCGTGCGGCACGCCGCACAGACAGAGAGAGATGCTTCCCTCCCGGGGTCAGCCTGCAGTGAGGAGGCAAAGCACCGTACTGTACCGTCGTCCGCGGCTCCGCGGCTGCGTGGCGGAGCACGCTGCACTGTGGAGCGCTCCCCGGAGCCACTTTCCCCGGAAACATGGCCACGGCGAAGCAGGCCTCAATGCACGCCCGACACGCCCCGGGCTTGGACCGCGGCCAGCGCGATGACCCTCGCCGCCGGAGCGGCCAGTGCCACCCTGACCCTCCGGCCGGGACGCCCCCGAGACGCCCCCGGGACGCCGCTGAGGCCCGTGCCACGCCCTACGCGCTGCAGCCCGGCCAGAGCCACCAGCTGGTTCATTCCGAACACGGCTAACGTCGACCTGTCTCTCTCGCACTCATGGGGCGTCCCATGCGGGCAACTGAGAGGCAGAGCGGCGAGAGCACAGTTCGGAGTCGGCCTGCAGGGCGTGGCGTGGCGTGGCGCGGTGCGCCAGGGGCAGCATCGCCGTATTCATCATGAAGCAGTCCCGCCTGGGCCGCCGCGGGATACATGGGCAGGCCCGGCAGGCCGGTGGCACGCCGGTGGCACGCCAAAGGGTACACGTCTCAAATTAGGTTCATTTTGGACGGCTTGGATTGGGGCCAGCGCGGCAGCGAGGCAGCCCGGTAGCCACTCCCGACCGAGCTCCGCGAGGCCGCGTCCGAGAGGCAGCTCCGCACTCCGCGCACAGAGGACAGCAGCCGCGGACGCAGCCCGGGCTGCTAGCCCGAGTAGAGCGGTACGGAGCGGTACAGTTTGAAGGGGCGGGGCGGGGAGGGGGGTGCATTGCCACGCCATTCAGCGAACGGGGGAATGGGGGGACGAGGCAAATGGCCATCCAGAGCCCCGTGAGAAGTGGACATCCCAGCAGGCCCGGCCCCAACGGCCCCGGCCCATTCCCATACTACTCCCAAAGCCTGCAAACGCGCACAGCCAGTCAAAGGCGCCCCTCCCTCGCGCCGAACGCTCGCACCGCCTTGGCAGGGGCCTAGGGACGCCGTCGGAAATTTATTACAAAATAATATTGATCCTGCGCGGGCGTGGCGTGCCGCGGCCCTGCGCCTGCAGGGGATGGCGTTCTGACACACGGCGCACGGCGCCTTTGAGTGGGCCTGCCCGCCTGCCGGCCTGCCGCGGCCTGCCGGCCTGCCAAGCCAAGCGTGGGCCACCCTCCCCGGTCTCCCCCGGGCCGAGCCGCTACGCCGAGGGCAGGGTTGGCCCCGAGGCCCCGCTAACACAAACTTCATCCGGTCCGAAAATAGAAAATGGGAAACATCTCTCCTACGTGGAGTGCGCGCAGGAGCCCCACGTCGGCGGTGCGCTTCGGTGCGGCACCGTGCCGCACCTCGAGGCCTGGACGGTGCGGTGCCGCGCGGTACGGTCCTCGATGTTGGGCTAGGTCTTGGCGGCGGAGGGGTTGTGTTCGATCGCGCGGCTTCCCCGTCGAGCGGAGCGCTCGAGCCGAGCCGAGCCACGGGGAGCAGCGCCGCCAGGGCCGCTAGGGCCGCTAGGGGAGCGAGGAGGGCCAGCCCGAGGGCCAGCCAGAATGACGCGATGCCGCAACGACGCTTCCTTTGTCTCCCGCGGCGCGCAGAGGACGCCGACGACGGGGAAGCCGGGGAAGCTGAAGCCCTGGCCCAGGCCTGGCAGGCCCGGCCCCGCGGCGGCTGCGGCGACCACCCTTAGCACCCTCGACCCGGCGCCGGCCTCGCCGGCCACAAAGGCGCCCGCCCGCAGGCCGCACCCTTCCAGCTCAAGGATGCAACACCGAGCACGTTCTCCAAAAAATATTCAAAAGGCACTCACAACGACGATTGCCGTAAACTTTCGGAAAAACATTTTTAGGGAAATTTGCGACCATGTTGCCAGCTCTGCACTTGGAAGTGTGGAAACTGGCACAAACTTTTCACACCGTTATGCCGAATGCATCTACCGACGCCGCTCGGAAACACGGCGAGCAACTGGGCGTCGCGTCTCGACAGTGCAGCGACAACCAATTGAAGCCTTTCCACCGGGAGTCGGGGGAACGCGCAGAGCGCGCAGAGCCGGTGGGGTCGGAAAGTCGGAACACAGAGAGACAGCGCGAATCGCAGACCGGACAAGCGTCTGCCGGCACAGCACTAACACCCATTGCACTGGGTGGTCACCGGGAACGTTCATGTCGACGAGCCGGCGCCGTAGTGCGTCGGAGGCCGCTAGGCCGAGCACCCGGTGCAGCACCAGCCCGACGACGCGAGGCCGAGCACCGCATCAGTGCGGCCCGACGCTCCGTTCCAGCGGTGTTCCAGCGGTGTTCCAGCGACCAGGCGACGCGCTGCGCTGCCACCATGCTGCCACTCAGGTGGCCGTCTCTCTCTGTCGACACCTTGTCCGGCTTGTCCCTCAACGCCCTCGCTCGCCTCGCGGTTTTACAACTTGGCCTGGTCGGCGTCGCGACGGCGACGGGTGCGTCGGCTGTCACAGAGTGACAGCCGCACCGGGCGGCACGCGCCGCCGTCGCCGGCACCTCGCCGACGACGCCAACAAACTCTAACACTACGTATGTACACTGCAACTCGGATACTCACTGTTGGAGATAGGGATGTTGCGCTCCGGCAGGATCGTCTCTATCACTTCGGCCGACATCTTCTGCTTGTGCGACACAGTGTGCTGCTGCTGCCAAATGTCCGAGATCTTGTTGAAGACGCCGTGCAGTTTCGAATCGTTGTGGTGCGGGGAGTCCTCAAGGAAATGCTCGAACCGGTCTCCTTGCATTCTACTGCAGTCGGCACTGCACACACTCTCTCACACTGCGCGATTCGACGCTAAGGACGCAAAGTTTGACACCTGAGGGGGGCTTATGAGATCTGGTGTCCAAGTATTGTTTCTCTTTTTTCCTTGTACTTGTTGGTTTGTCCTTTATTCAGGGCCGTCAAAAGAGTGGCGACGCAGTGTGCACCGTATCGTCCCCCTTCATGTGCCGAACTTCGTATGTTACGGCGTCGCGTCGCGCACTTGGTCCGACAGTCGAGCAGCCGGCCGGTCTCGAGATCCTCCCTCTCCGACGTCCTGCCAGCAACTGAGTTGGTTGGAGTCGGACGGGACGGGACGGAGTCGCGTCGTGCCGAGCTCGCCTCGCGAAGTGCGGTGCGGTGCGGGCGGAGCGGGCGGAGCGGGAGCACAGCACGGCCACGGGAGCAGAGCTGCGGAGTGGGAGCTGAGACCCGAACGACTCCGACCTAGTCGAGTTTGCTTTTGCCGAGCCCGAGCCGCCCGAGCCGCCCGAGCCGAGTCGCCGAGCACCGAGTCGAGCCGAACGAGGCCGGACCCCGTCGGCCCCGCGGCCCCGCCCCGGCCCGGGACCGTTTACCAACAGCTGATTGTGAGAGCTGGCCTCCCATTGGCCGCCGAGCCAGCCAACGGCAGGCGAGATCTCGGCCCGAGCCCGCATGGCAACGCGGACCAGCTGATTGTCAAGCGTTAGAAGAAAGGGAATTTCCCAGCCAATTCTTTCATTGGACAAAAGATGGACAGTTATAAGGTGGTTTGGAGTGTTGAGGAAAAGGTCCGCTCGTTTCTCGGAAAATGCTGCTGAAAAACACTACACCGAGCGCCGTGTCGGGTAGGCAACCCTTCGTGCGCGACCGGGCTGAGCGCCGGGGAGGTAGGCAGCCTATCGCACAGCCGGCGCGGAGCCGCTTGAAGCCGGGGAGGTAGGCAACTATCGAGTTAGAATCAGGGGAATGCAGTACAAATTCATGTCTAGCTCTAGGCCGAGGTTCGAACTCGCCCCACGATGGAAAGTGCAAGCGCACAAAGAAAAGTCCGTTCTGTTTGAACAGCGCCGTGTTTTGAATCTCGAGCGGCAAATATTGGCTGGTTGAAAGGTTGGCCATTGGCGGCAGAGAGATTCCACTACGGAGTGCTGGGTGTCAATGAACCACAATATGGACCGGAACGACGCCAAATTATCTCTGATTGTGTAATAGAGAGCCCAAGAGTGAAGAAAGCGTCTAGCTTCGACTTTAAAAAAGATCGCTGCTCACTTGTTCTCGGCTGTCTGCTGTCGTTTGTTATGTTGGCAAAAGAAGCCCACGTACGCCTCCCTGATGGGCTTGTTTATTTATTTACACTGATTGTAGTTAACAGAATTAATTGAATATCTTAGCAAAGAAAATATGGAGTATTTTCGGAGCGGCTTAAAATCTGTTTTGGGAGCGCCCAATCAAGGCAGTTCGGCTCCAAGCGCAGCAGAAACTGTAAGTTCGCAAATGTCAAAGGGTCCACAAACATCTCTTTAACGTGTAATATTACGAAAATGGTGACATGTTATCTCTAGAGAAACACACGAGAATTCACGAAAAGATGCCCCACAACCCTCCACGAATTTAACTGGTTTCAGAAGAGATTGCAGTCGGTGTACATCTGTTTCTGCTCTTAACCCTACTTTTACCTGAGGACGTTGCCTTCTGCTGTGTTTCAAAGTTACACTCAAAATACGACAAACTGTTTCAGTCCACAAGAAAATTTAGAACCAGGAAAAAGAAATCGATGAACATGAAACAGTTCAGTTCTGAACTTATGGTTTTGGATCACTTATTGTCGTTCTTCAAATGTGGAATGCTAATGTTTGTTCCTTTTTTGTCTTTTGTAGGTAGAACGTCTTGTGGAAAGAGTGCAATGTTCCACCCTACTAGAGGACCGACGCGACGCGTGTCGAGCTTTGAAGGCTTTGTCAAAGCAGAACAGAGTCGAGGTTGGAGCGCAGGGCATGGATGCATTATGTCAAGTATTGGATTTGGATAGAGCTGATAGTGAAATTGTCGCTTATGCTCTCGATGCATTATGCAATGTCATGTCTCCAGATACATTTGATGAAGAAGGTGAGATACTTTTTGTAAATCTTAGTAGAAAATAGAAGAGGTAAGAGACTGACAGAATAATATTTTTGTCTGTGATACATCAGAACATCCAACAGCCTACCAAGGTTCAAAGAGCAGCCTTGGAGAACAGTTCACTGAGATTTTCATGAAACAGCCAGATAATATTGGTTTGGTGCTTGGATTTCTTGAAGAATATGAATTTCAAGTTCGTTGGCCTGCTCTGAAACTTTTGACATCACTTATACATAACAGGTAAGTTTCATTTACTTAATTGTGGTTTCAGTTTCCTGAAATTCCTATCATAAAATGAGTGTTTGTTTTTCCTTTTCATTTTAAGACCAAGAGATCTACAAGAAATAATTTTAGTGAGTCCAATGGGTGTTTCAAAACTGATGGATCTTTTAGGAGATAACAGAGAAGTAATAAGAAATGATGTGAGTATTGTTTTCCTTTGATAGTTTGGTAATGGAATTATCTGTACAGGTCTAAATATAACAGTCCCTCCTTCCTCTGATTTTGATTCAAAAGTTGAATTCCTACACCTGGGGCTTGCATTCAGACCATTTGCATGCAATTGAAGATAATGAAATTCACCAGTTACTCTGCAATATTTTCAGGCCCTCATCCTTTTAACTCATTTAACAAAAGGAAACGCTAACATACAGAAAATTGTTGCCTTTGAGAATGCATTTGATCGCCTGTTTGATGTTATTGCTGATGAAGGTTATGCTGATGGAGGGATAGTTGCCGAAGACTGTTTAGTTATTGTGCACAATTTACTGAAGAACAACACTTCAAATCAGAATTTCTTCAAAGAAGGCAAGTTTAAGAAACTTAAATTTTTAAATTATTAATCGAATTGAATATAATTTTGAAATGTTTGTGTGCTCACTTTCTCGAATTCTGATTTAAAGGAAGCTACATTCAGCGTTTGTCTCCAATGTTTGCACTTCCAAGCAACACTGAAGAAATTGGATGGTCTTCCCAAAAAGTTACCAACATTCTTAGTAGTTTACAAGTAAGTTACAAGCAGCAATGAATTACATATATATTTTTTTATAATTGTGTGAATTCTTTTAGAGCAATGACACTGAGACTCATTTTCTTATGTTTAGGTTGTTCGGATGCTTGTAATGCCTGGCAATCCTGCTCAAGTCACCTCCTCTTGTCAAAGAACCATACGAAATAGTGGAATTCTAGAGGCTCTTTGTGGAATATTAATGGCAAGTGGTGTGCCTGTAGAAGTCCTAACAGAAACTATAAATGCTGTAGCTGAAGTAATCCGGGGAAATCCATCCAACCAAGAATACTTTTTGACTGTCATGGCTCCATGCAAGCCTCCTCGGTAAAAAAGTAATTTCTATTACTAAAATAATGTTAAATCGAACTTTGTCTTAAATGTTGCAATACTTTTGATTCAGGCCTGCATTGGTAGTTTTGTTGTTGTCCATGGTCAATGAGAAACAACCACTAGAACTCCGATGCTCAGTATTATATTGTTTTCAATGTTACTTGTATAAAAATGAAGTTGGACAAGCCCAACTTGTACAAACACTGCTGCCATCATCTGCTGAGGGTAGGTGTCAATCTCAATCTATCAGTAAACCTGAATTTATTTCTGCTATACCTGATGGTTTTGACACTGTTCTGACCCCATGTGTGTTCTTTTTTTCTGTGTGAAGTGGGAACAGGGACCACAGGGCACCTTCTAGTATCAGGCCTTCTGTCAGGGCATATGCTCTCAACTTGGCTGTCTGCTGTTGCACTTTCACATGCTTTAGTTGAAAATCCTGCTCAAAAGGAACAGCTGCTTAGAGTGGCTCTTGCAACTGCCCCAGGAGCTAATCCAGTTTCTCTTCTGCACCAGTGCTGCACCATGTTAGAGCAGGTAGAGATATTTTTTAAAAATTGATTACTGTGTTGTCAAAACAAAATTTGTTCTTTATTGTCTCTTTATTTGCAGTCAAATAAAGTTCAAAGTAAAGTTGGAATTTTGATGCTTTTGGCTATGTGGCTGTCACATTGTCCATTGGCTGTACGAGAACTTCTAAGTACCCCATCAAGCATCCCATATCTCACAGCCCAAGTAAGTTCTAAGTATGTGCTTTTGAAGAGTAAGATTCAATGGTAATATTTATTAGCACCAGGTGGTGCCCCATATCAGCTGTAGTCTCACTACAAAGATATTGAAAGTAGAAATACAATTTCATACGTTACTTGTTGTTAGGTGGGAGCAAGTGAGCATCAAGAGCATGAGGAGCTGTTACAAGGATTATGTGCTTTTCTGATTGGTATTTGTGTCACTTTTAATGATGACTCTGTTCCAAGTTACACCAGAGTAAGAACTTCATCACATTATTTCTGCATTTGCTAATTTTTCTTGGAACCCTTTAATCTTGATCTAAAATTTATTTTTTGTTTAGGAAAACTTATGCCAGCTTATTTCAAAACGAGTTGGCCAAGATATGTTTTTAGATAAACTAGGAGAAGTATCCAAACATGAACTTTACAGCAAAGCTCACAAGCATCCTCAGCTGCAAGCCTCATCGCAGGAACAATTACTTTTAGACCATGAATTTTGCAAGCTTTTCAAGGCTCTTGAAGGTAAATTTCAAGTAGACTTCTTGTTAAATTTTCTATTGACAACTTTGTAAATTTTTGCATGTTTTCCTGTTTTAGGCATGGTGATAAAGGCTGTCACACCCAAGGAAGCTGGCATGCACAATGGAGGAACAGAACTTACCCTGACAGCCACTGAAAGTAGCCTTCTCCTTCAATACAAAGAATTAATACGTTCCCAAGACTATCAGTTGCAAGAAATGCATCAGAAATTGCAACAATATGAATCAGAGCGACAGGCTTATCAAGTTAGTTGTAATATCTTGTACAGCAGTGTAATAGAAAATGTATCAAGTCCTTAATTTAAATCTTTCATGTTTGTTTCAGGCACATGTAGAGGAACTCAATGCAACCATATCTCAGCTAAGAGATCAGACTAGACTTCTCAGTGCTGCAGCAAATACAGGTGTTACTAACTCACTGAGCAGTGATATTGAACATTTGTCCATAGCACCACAGGTAAGCTTTAAAAGTAAATTTGTCACAAAACTGATTATGTTATTGAGTCAACCATTATACAATAATGTTCATGGTCTGTTAAGGAGGACACCATCAGGAGTGCTGAAGTGGAAACAGAGCTTGACAGACTACGGAAGGATCAAGAAGACCTATTGGTACTTCTGGCTGATCAAGATGCAAAACTTAACACTTACAAAGATCGATTAAGACAGTATGGTGAAAAGGCAAGTTATTATTATTATTATTATCATCATTGAACCATCTTGAGACAAGTTTGGAAGCATATGTTTACTTTTTCTGATCTTTTTTTTTTCTGCAGGTGGAAAGTGACGAAGAGACTGATATTCAAAATGGAGGTGAATGTTAAAGCTGCTGCATTTCTTTTCCTTCCGACATTAGTATAACATTCCACTATAAATTACATTGTTGTGATGCACATAAAAAAATTTTATTGTCTTGTTTATCCTGTCTTTCTTTACTTTTGAAAAATTTGTTTTAAAGATCTTGTAGTTTATTGATTTCTTATCACACTTGTTATATTTTATGTATTCTTAAGTTAATGAATGTGCAGTCGTCTTTATAAGATGTGCACAGACGGCTTTACATTCAGTAACTTATGACTCTTGATGTGTTGAGCCCTTTTGTATGCCTCCAAAGTCATATTCACTTGAATCAGCCATCTTTATTGACTATTACTCCCTCCCCATTTTGTAATTTTATTTATTGTGAGTATTATATTCTATGATTGAGAAGAATATGGTGGTCTTTTATTATTAAGGATGTGATAATGATTTTTTTTTTTAGGACCTGTATCATTGGCATTGGAAATAAAGGCAGGTCAAATGTATAGGATAGCTTTCAAAAAATTGAAAACTTGGTGATAGGCCTCATGATCTGCTGCATTATAAACAGTACCATTTATTTTCATTCACAAAAACACAGAGCAAAAGCTCCTACATTTTACTTTTTTTTTTCTTCTTCTTCTTCTCTGGATTACCTTGCATCCTCTTAACTTTTAAAGGTTCCAATGAACTGAAGTACCGCTTAACAGGTTTTGGAGCTTTATCGGTGTGTACAGGTAATTTTTCCTCCCTTGCCTCAATTACCTCATTTGCATCACCATTGTCTGACAATGACAGGAAGGAACCAGTGGGCATTTCCTGTGATGGCGGCTGAATTACAGCCTTCTTTGCATCTCTTACTCTCTGCAAGAATGATTTAGCCTCAGGAACAACTGTAGATCCCAAAATTTTCTTAGGAGTTTGAGTCGCTGGTATAGCAGGATCCATCTTTTCCAAATTACTAAGTGAAATGTATGGCGACCAAGAAGAATCACTTCCCACTTGTAATCCCTTCCCAGGTATGAAAGCACGGTATTTACTGGAACTTCGAGTTAGGTAAATATTGACAGGACTGCGAGCTTTTACTTTGGTCACAACAGGAGGGCAGTCTTGTAAATTTTCAGAAACTGTCTCCTCTATGGGTAAATCAGGCAACATGGGTGTTACTATAGTTTTGAAAACACTAACAATCTTCAGATGAACTAAATGAAAATAATTATCATTGTCCTCCGCAACAACTTTCTGAAAATGGGAAAAAATACAACTTAGAAATAGACCATTTAACAAAAATTGTACTCCCTTAGAGGAAAGCGGAAACAGACCTTCAATCCTACTGCTAGAGATGGGAAGTCAACACTTTTCTTCATAGTTCCTTTTAGATGTTGTAATACAATATGAGGGACATTTCTAGAAGCTGCTAGGGTAGCCAGGTGTTGAGTAAGAATTGGAGGGTCAGCTTCATTAGATATTAGTAAAGATGCTAGAGTATTCTCCTCTAGACTGCGCGATACATCATTGATACCTAAGACTAAAAAATTTCTGTAATCAGAAGACGTTAAATGTCATTGAAATCTGATTGATTACACACCATTAACATCAAAATAGGAAAAAATACCTAAGAATGCTAGCTTGTGGGTTTCTTTCCCATATTTTTTTTGTCAGTTCATTTCTGGCGTCTTTTCTACTTTTTCCCTGCATTCCACGCAAGAGTTTGCAATCATCAGCAGATATTGGTTTGCGTGCTGCTGGTAGAAGACTGAAGAAATACACATGCAATGATTTCAATACTAGCAGAGAAGAACAAAATTAAGAGTTTTACACAGAAACAATGAAGATGTTTACCGTTCCAGTAATGAGTTTACTTCCAATTCAACATCTTTGTCAACCAATGGCCTGCAACCAAGACACATATTTAAGTCAGTAACATAATAAAGTTATAAAAATTCATGAAATTTTTAGGTGTTTTTAGTTAAATTAGGAAGTAAGGAAAGGGAAAGAGGCTGATACTGACCAAAATCTACTGTAAGGTTTAGCCAGAACATGACGAACATTTCTGTTGCAGCCTTTGCCACCTTTTTTACCCGAAATTGTGTTTTTTTGTTGTTTAGCAGTGAGAGTCTTCACTTTCTGGTCAGACATGGCAAGTAAATATTCAAACACAGAAAAGCGCCCTGGGATTTTCAAGCAGACAGCAGCATTGCCGAAGAGGTTAAGATAACCTAAATCTTTGTTTACGTCGGAAGAGAGAGACCGGATGTAAGGTTCTGACCGGATGTTTTGTAAACAGTCTTCCCCATCGCGCGCATTTTGAAAGCTGCACCTATACGGGACTTTTTTTTTGTGTTTGTAGATAGATTAATAGGTGTTTGTGATTAAACTGGAAGTCAAAGAGAAGAATAAGTGGGCAGAGTTGAGAATCGGTGCTTTGAAAGCCACAACTGCCTACTTCTTCTGACTTCGACACTTCTCAACCACACAGAAATTGTTTTCTTTCTTTCTTCCAGGTGAAAAAGGCCAATGTAGGCTCATTCACAAGGTATTAATTACATTGATCAGTTATAGGTGAGTGGGTGGGTGATGAAAAATAAGCATGTGGGCGGCTCATAATAAAACCCACAAAATCAGGCAAGACAGTTATTTTATTCAAAACACATTGAAAGAACACAGACATAGAAATGTTGCCATACGTATCATGAAATGCACCTTGTTAACTGGTCGATGTTTACCTAAGCTATGCATAAAGAAGGGCAACTGAAACCATTAAGGCCAAAATATTACTTTTGTTATAGCAGTTTCTCTAAACTGCTAATCAAATTAGATTGTACTACAAAACTTTTGGGACAAAAATATCTTGTTGACAGTTTACAGATTTCTGTAAATAAGATAAAATCTATTTCACTTGTGGCGCCTGGAGGAGCAATCATCGCCAACATTTCAGCAACTACATACAAAAGGATTATTGTACACTAAGTTACATCTTTTATGACAATTATACTCTCTATACATTATTATAACATCTCTGATTTATTTGCTAACATCATTAAGCCTTTCTGCCTTTACTTTACAAACAATATCAATATTTCCCCTTTTATGGTTAATGAAACAAATATTCTTTTCTCTCTCATACACTATGCGACATAAAAAAATATCCATATGAAATATCTTGTTTACAAAAGAATCTTTCCTTAAAAATTATTCATTTTGCAGAAGGCACAGCTTCAATGTCTTTTAATTAACATCATTTTTGTGTGGTGAGCCCCTCCTAGCAGTTCTTTCAAATGTAATCATGTAGCAACTGCAAAATGGTACATCAGTACAAGACCAAATAGACAAACTGCTTTTACATGGAATGGGAATCATCACAGGTTCCCCAAACTACCGCTAAGTACTTACTTATACATTACCAGACAATACTGAGAACTAAATACTAAATACACATAAATAAATATTTCAACAAAAGACATTGCCTATGATCATTTGAAACAAACAGACAGAAAAATAATACTGTAAAAATCTTTCAGGAGGAGCAAATTTTTAAACAGCGGTCAAGAGAAACAAAATCAACCGAAAGAGAAAATACATTCATGATTGCAAAAAGTTTAGGGTTTACAGGAAATAGACAAGAGAACTGAAAACAGAAGTTAAAAATCTCATACTAAAAACATAAAATACTAATGTTCAAAATTATCACACAAAATAAAAGGAATGATATCAGTCAGGAATTATGAAGAGTACACACACAGCGACCTTAATATGATTAATCTTCACATAAGGCTGACTGTGATGCTCCAGTCACAAATGAGTACAGTTCAAGTTCACACATCAATGTGCATACCTTTGGAATGCAAGACTCTAAATAAAATGATTCAAACAAACCATACTTCATAAGAATACACCAATCAACTCTTCATTATCAAAGTAAGTACGTATCACAGAAAATTACATCTAGGATAAGATGAATGGCAAAGGGCAGGTGGATATTTGAATTGCTGGCCTTCATATTTTCATTCACTTTCCAATAATTGATTTTCCAGGCATGATTATTCAGTTAGATTGAACTGCTGAACACCAAGCTCAATGGCAAAGAAAACATTATCAATGTATTAGTTACTCTGAGACTTTGTAAATGGACCATGTCTTAGCTGATATTTGAATTGTTCCTTGGAAATAAATAAAATAAGATGCCTGCAAAACAGGGAACATTAGCTTTTTCTTATGTCCTGGATCCAGAACACCACATACCAATTCACCTTAAACTCGATTCACATTAATTAATAAGCCCTCACAAATACAAGTGTAAATCCAGACACAGCCTTGCAAACTCTGGCACAAGTAAGCCTTTCAGATCTTATGATTGTCAAAAGGGTAGATGGCCTTGTACTGTTATGAGAAAGAAGGTGTGTCTCTGTCACTTGCTTCAAGCGGATTTGGGAGATCTGGAGGATATTCTGAGTATTCCAGTGATGCCCTAAGAACCTTTTTTGTTGTACTTCCAGTGGGGACATTATTTACATACACTGGAGGTTGTGCAGGACGTCGGTTTATCCTTTTACCTTGAGTCCCTGCTTCACCCCTACCAGAATTCACATCCGAGCTGGTTGCTCTTCTCACTTCATCAGATGAGTCCAAATTTCCTCTTCTTGAAAAATCTGGGATTGTTTTATGTAAGTTCTGAGACTCAGCTTCTACAGGTACTTCACTACTTGCATCGTTTGCATCAGTGCTCAGTTGCAGTTTGGCAATTCGAGTCTGTACAATCTTCAGATGACGCAAGACATAGTCTTCATGAGGTGCCATTAGATGAGCACGAGCAAGGCACTTCTCAGCTCGCACAAGCTCCCCACGTTCTACATACACTACACATAAATTGTGAAGACCTTGAATATTTTCAGGATCAAGCTGCAGAATACGCTTGTAGCACTGCAATAAAAGGAGGAAAAAATGACAAAGGATCTATTGTAAATACAACTCCAAGTCCAGTAGTATAGTTTCAAACAAGGATTAGATAGAAAATTATTTACAAACTTACATTTTCAGCAGCATCCAGGTCTTTTATTGTGTTAATGTAGATGTCTCCCAATAGAATGAGGCCTTTAACATGATCTGGGTGATACTTCACAAGTTGATTGAGGAATGGAGCAGCCTCCAAGGGCCTATGGTCATCAGCAAGGAGCAAGGCAAGGTTGAAGAGTGCAGATCGAAAGTCTTCCTTCAATTGGACAGCCTGCCGGAACCAATGTTCTGCTCCAGCAACATCACGATCATCCATTGCCAACATTCCCAAGTTAAAATGAACTCGTTCATTTGTTGCATCCTGTTATGTTATAAATTATTTTGAAACCATTTTAAAATAAAATCCAAAGATTGAGGAAAATTCAAGTAATACTGTGAGTGCATTAAACTATAGTTTTACGTTTGATCAGGTTTTCAGCCTTACCTTTCGTAGCAGTTTAAGAAGACGCTCACGAGCTACTTTCCTTAATTCTGCTCGCCCTAATTCTTGTAAAAGAATGGCAGAGTTTAGAAGAGCCTGTTCGTGCTCTGGGTCGAATTCCAAGGCCTTGTCCAGGTAGGCTAAAGCTTGTGGGGCCTTTCCTTGTTCAAGAAATACTACACCAAGCTAGAGAGTGCAGAGGAGGAAACAGTATCGTTAATATTGAGACACATCAACACCCAAGATAATTTGAATCAGATTCAGGTTTCTAAGAAGTTTTTCATTTCTACTCAATACATACATTATAGTATATGTCGGGGTTGTTTGAGTCGTAGAAGAGTGCTCTTTCATAAACTTCTTGGGCCTCTTTAGTTCTGTTGAGCTTCAATAAGACATCACCTCTATTTATGTATGCCTGAGTGTAGTCTGCACGCATACTGATAGCTTGCCGGTACAATAGATCAGCCTCTTCCAAGCGTGTTTCATTTTTGGCAATGAGATTAGCAAGATTGAGAAACACATTAAGATGATTAGGAGCAATTCGAGCTTGATATGATTCTCCTGGTTTAGCTTTAGGAAGAAGTGATTTGGCCTAAAAATAATTTGGATTAAAAAAATATTATTATGACAACAAACTACAGTGTTACTGCAGTTAGTGACAAAAAAACCCCAAATTGTTGAAATCCAACTTTAATTTCTATACTTGAAAAAAAAAAAATTAACTTACTTTGAGATATGCATCCTCTGCTTCCTTATACATTTTCAGATGGTTGAGAGTTCGGCCCACATTTATGTGAGCACCAATATCATCTTCTTGAACACTACAACAAAAGAAAACGGACAAACAAATGAAAATATTGATACTAAATAGGTACCTTTTTAATTGTAAATTAATGTACAAAACTCTTACCTAACAGCTTTATGGAAAAACTGTAAAGCTTCTTCAAAGCGGCCTTGACTCTCTAAAGCGTGTCCAACATTATTAAAAAGTTTTGCATTTCGCTGGTTCACCCTCAGGCCTGCCATGAATATACTGTACTCTGACTCCCAATCATAGTTCCTTGTGTAAGTTTTACATCCATGAACAAAAAGAAGTACTCCTAAGCACATCCAGGCTGCACGACGCAACCTTCTAAAAGTGAAAAACAAAACAAAGAGTTAAGCATGGTTCAATGTGTAGAAAACTTCATCTCAAACTCCCAATTAGAAATACATACTCCTTTTCAAAAAGAATATTCCATCCATAACCAATCAATAAGCAGAAGCCCATAGAAGGCATGTATAGAATACGTTCAGCCACCACAAAACCAACAGGGAAAAACAAGTTAGATGCTGGGAGGAATGGCAACACCAGTAGTGCCAAGCCCTGTGGGTGGAGAGAGAAACATATTAGTTGGTTGCAATGTGTAACATTTCAATGCAAGTAACTTGCTCATAAATTGAGAGAGTAGACGTACCATTATTAAAACTGTAGCTTGTTGTCTATTGCTAGTGGTTAAAGCTGTGTGACATAGCAACCCTAGGACAACAACAGCGGCCAGAGTTGTAGCATTTCGAGGATCGGTGACAGATTCAATGAGAGGGATGGTACCCATCGTCCAATCACAACATAGGTCACATGGGAATAGGAGCAGCCACAAGTTCACACTTATGAGGTGCGCATAAGACAGCTGTCTTGAAGGAGTAGGAGCCACAGAGGCTGGATTATCAAAGCTAAAACAAAAACAAAACGGTAATGTCTATCATACTAGCAGCTGGGATTCAATTGAATTAAAACCAGAATACGGAAAGTTGACGCACCGAGTAAACACTGGCAACTTGGAACCCATTATCTGCAGTCTCAGAACAAGGAGCCCGACTGTTGAAGCAAACAGAACAGCCAGCCTGCGGGTGACATCAGGGGTCCAGGAGTTGTTCACAGCACCTTTCCCACTGACTAACCAACGCACAAGGTACTGAAGGTCACTCACTCGGAGCTGCAAACAAAAGTGCAGGATATGTTGATGACGTTTTCAATATAAACAACAGATAGATAATAATAATAATTTGGATGAAAATTTTAAGGAACGCTTTGGTTGCACCTACCTTTTGAGCTACAAATATTTCATAAACTACACACACTCCAGTAACGGTGATTCCCTGTTCTTTACATAGCATTGCAATGGCCACACATATCATGGAAAGTGTCAGATGCTGCCAACCTAAAACAGAAAGAAAGGAGGGAAGGATCTTTACAAAATGTACCAAAAACAGTCAACATGGACATCAATAAAATTCACATTTTCCTCTACTCAAGAAAAATACTACACAGAAGCAAGATTGTAAGGGGTACCTGTGACTTTCTTCCTCTTTGTTGCATTTGAGTAAAAGAGGAAGGCAGCTAAGAAAAAGACTGATGACAATGTTTCAGCACGGCCCACCACACCAGTGACGGCCTCAGTGTGAATTGGATGTACAGCAAACAACATTGCTGCTACAAAGCTTGAGATTTCAGGTAAAAACATGGAGCACATCCTGAAAAAAAGACATAAATTAATGTTGAGCTACACCCCACTTTATATTGAATTAGAATGTGATTCATGAACTACCATACCTGAAGTACATCAAACAAACAACTCCATGTAAAAGCATGTTTACAAGATGATAGCCCAGTGGCTCCAGTTGATGAAACAGGTAGTTCCAACGAAAGGTGAGCACACATAATGGCCTGTACGATTTGTGGCTTTGCTCCTGTCAGATCAAGGGAATAAATTTATAGAACAAAGGCAAATATCAGAAACACAGTGTTTTATCTCAGAAGTGAAACAAAGCACAAGTCTACCTTATGCATTGGTGTGCCCCAGAAGTCATTAAGAAAAACATTCTTGATAGGAGTATGAGGCCGCAAATCTCTGTTATCTTTAATGGCACTGATATCATCAAACACAAACCCACAATTACAGCTATTATAGTAACATAAGATGCATGTTACCAGCACTATAGCTGACAAAACATGATGTTGTGCCATAGTAAACCTGCAACAGAAAAGATACAAACTTAGCATTCTTGAAACAAGCTAGTTTCCCATTCTAATAAGTCATGAACTATAAAGTGGTATCCAGTGAAATCGAATTCCGAAAGCAGAGAAATTCTCATTTTAACAAATTCTAATAACGTGCTTGTGGTGACGAGGTCCTCCTGAATTCCGTTCTCATTCCAGAGAGGCTCACTTTAAGTAGATCTAGCTAACCTATACATGTCTTTAAGTAGTTACAATTGCCAAATGGTTCGATTACAATTGGCACCCCGAAACATATGTAATTCATATAATTAATAAATAAATAATTTAACTCGTGGGTAAAAAAGACAGCTCAGTCAAAAACCTATAAAACTTGGGTTGTAAAAAGAGTATAACAATTTAAAACCCTTTCAAGAAAATAATGCAAATGTTTAAGCAGAATTTAATAGAAATACATTTGTGAATTGTCTCAATCTGAGTGGCGTTAGTCACAGAACCCATGAAATAGAACATCACATAAGATACATCTCTCCTACAAAAACGCCAAGAGGTTAAGAAATGAATCAATGGGATTTTCACAACATGAACCATCAAAAACCACGGAAAGATATTCCAGAAGTTGGTAAAAAGACAGTCCTCACACAAGAATTGAGTTCCCTGGCCGTCTTAAAGAGTTCGCTTTCACGGATAGATAGACTCGTAAAGCGATGCAGAAACCAGTCCAAAACACAGAAACATTTCAAAAGTTTACATAATACCAGCGAAAAGCTAGCTTGTCAGTTTCCAGGAGAGACTGATCAACGAAAACTCGAAAAAACGAGTCGCGTCCGTTTGACAGCTGAGGTTATGTTGTGGCCGAGGCGGGTCGGCTGCTGGCCGAGCAAAATACGTTTTCTGCTAGCGACGCTCCGCTTCGCCAGGGCGTAGTTTGGGCCGAAAAGTAATCCAGTGGCCGGGAAACGGTTGCGGAACACTCTCACACACACACCAGCGCACAATGCACAACTTTATTTACCTAGAAGCGGCCCCGCGGCCGAATCGCCCCTATTTTAAGTCACTTTTGCGCTGCCCTGCCGAGCGGGCGAAGGCTCGAAGCTCGAAGGCGGGGACGGACCGCAGTGCCTTGGCGTTTCCGCCCTCGCGCGGGCCGGGCGACTTCCGCGGACGGGCGGCGCGACGTTGCGAATGGCGACGGCTTCACCGGGAGACACGAATCCGCGTCAGGCGAAACGCTCATGTCGAAGGCGAAAACTCGCGACGCGGTAATGCCCGCTGGCGAACATCAGCGAATTTTGAGACGACGGGCCGCCATGGCGAAGCAGGAGCTACGCCGCGCGCAGAGTGTCGAGCCGAACTGAGGGCTGAGGGGAGGGCTGCCCGTGGCTGCCAGCCTCGGCGGGGCGGGGGGCGGCTGGGCCGTGAGGGGTAGTGAGGGGCGGGGGCCGAAGCGAGCCGAGCCGCCGAGCCGCGCTGGTTGCCTGCTTCGGGCGCATTCGGGCCGCGCCTCGGAACTTGCCTTCGGGGTTCGGGCGTGCTCGTTACGCCCCCGTCACGTGACCCGCCGCGCCGCCGCGCCGCCGTCCTCGGTGGGAGAGGGATAGAGAGAGACGAATCGCGCGGGGCGGCGCTTTCGCGCGCACCATGGCGCGCACCCTCTCGCACCCTCCGAGGGGTGCGTCGCGGCGTGGCGGGCCGCGCCGTCTCTCTCGCACAGGCGCTAGCCCTGGCTGCCCCAAGGGCTGCCCGCCGCTGCCCGCACCCCCGGCCGGCGCCGCGGCAAAGCCCGGACCGCCCGGACGCATCCGGACGCGGCCCCGCCTGACCTTATGAGCGCCACCTTTAAATGCAACTGCACTCACTTGACATTTGGGAGGGTGCGGAGGGGAGCAAGGAGCGCCGCACGCCGTTGCCACATCTACGCCACGTCTAAGCCACGTCGGGGCTCGGCGCTGCTCGGCACCCGATGCCCAGGCGGCATATTAAGTACGAGCTCGACAAGTTGAATTTGTATGTTCTTTGATAGACATCAGTCGTTTGCATCCACTTATGCCATTCTGACCAAGACCAACACAAACTCTTTTTTTCTTTTTTCGAATTTTGAAATGAAGTCGCGGTGCGCAGAGAGACGACATGTAAATGGTACACGCCGCGCTGTCGCGCCCACAGCCCCAGAGTCGTGCCGCCTCGCCTCCCCTGGTTTCGTCGCCCTGTCTCTCTCGCACCCATACGGGACGCGTCGTGAGTGCGAGAGAGACAGAAAGCCGACTGGCGGCGCGGCGCGATCCGGCCGCCACTTTCCGACGCGCGACGCGCATTATCATAGCATTTGCATGCATTTGCATACATCCGTGGGGAAAGGACAGGTAGGCGGCCGAAAGAGATTGGCATGAGTGACCACATCGCGGCCGAGGGGCGAACAAATTCCATTCCGCAGGTTTGTCGCATTTATTGTAGCCGCCGCGCTGCCCTGCTGGGCGCAACACGCCAATTCCCCCCTTTAGACCACTGCACCTGCCGTCGCCGCGTCGCGGGTCTTTTTCGCGTGGCTTCGCTTGACTGGCTAGACTCGGCCCCGCTGGAACCATGGAAGAGCCGAAAGCCGAAAACAGCGCATAAAGGGAACAGGGGATCGAGCGGGCCGGGCTCTATTCTATTTTCGAGAGGCAGACGCGCGGACGCGCGGACGGACGGCACGCCGGACCGGACGTTCTCGAACGTGGATGCCCGCGGGGCCCGGCCAGGCCCTGGCGGCCAGCGCGCCAACGGGACGTGGATCCAGAGGCGAACGGCTCACCATGGTAATGAGGAACGCCCCACCCCGCCCCACCCCGCCCCACCCCGCCCCGCGCACGGACTTGAGGCCGGCCCAGTGATTTCCCCCATCTCGGGCGTCAGGTATAATGAGCGTGGTCCGCATCCCTATTATCTCGCCAATTCCACCCCTCCAGCCTGCTAGCCGCTGCTAGCCCCCACCCTCAGTCCGAGCAGACTGGTTCCGAGAGTCGTTTTCGTCGATCTGTCCCTCTCGCACCCATACGGGACGCACCATGAGTGCGAGAGAGACAGAGCGACGAAAACGTCTCTCGGAATCGGTCTGCCGGTCTACCGACAGCCTCGCCGCTGGCTTTACGCCTGCCAAGCCGGGTAGGCAGCGCGCGCCACTCTCGTGCGCGGCGGCTGCGTGGGTTGCATACCTGCTAGGCGGTTGACGGCCGAGTGGTCGGCGAGATGTCATCAAACTGTGCGATGCCATTCGATGCAATTCGGGGGCGTCTGCGCCAGGCTGCGCCAACCTCTCCTGCCCCTCTTCCTAGCCCACTACAGAGCTGCTTGTCGTCGACGTCGTCGTCGTCACCCGAGGAGAAGGGAGAGCGGAGGAGCGGCGCCATTTCACATCGCCTTCTTGTCTTTCATTTCCTGCCCCCTCCCCTCTCCCCCCGACGGCCCCTCCGGACTGCCGTGTCCCGTTCGCCCACTAATGATGATAGAGTGTCCGCGCCCCTGCCCCTCCCACATGACCCCCGCGCCACTCCCAGCCACTCCCCCCGCCCCCTGCGCCGTCACCCCGACTGTCTCCGGGCAGACACAACCTTGTGTCGCCCCGCCGCCCCACCGGGTCACCCTTTCTTTGGCTGCCTCTCGATTTCGGGGATTTTCCACGTGTGGCGACGCCGCCGAGGCAGCAGAGCCCGACGGAGCCGGAGCGAGCCGGAGCCACGGCAGCAGGCATCAGCGTAAATCTTGTGCGTTTCTTTTTTCGCTGGCTGTGCACTGTGCTACAGTGTGCTCACGCACACCGACGCGGGGCCATGACGTCACCGCGTCATCATCGCGTGGCGCCGCGTGGCGCCGCGTGGCGCTGGGAGGGCGGCCCGGCCCGCCCGGCGATGCGTCCCGCGGGCACCTCGCCGTAAACATGGCCATCAACGCCACGCCGCGCCATGGCCACGCCGCGGCCACGCCGTGCCGGTCATGGAAGTAATTACATTTTCATAGAAAATTGAAGAGCTCGGTGCGGCGTGGCGTGGCGGGGTCTGCGCTACAGGGAACGCCACTCCCTTTGTCCGTCTTGATCCCCGCCGCGTCCGAGAGTCCGCGCTGGCCGTGCCGGGCCGTGCTGCCTATCGGCCGCTGGAGGCTGGAGCGGCTGGAGCGCACGCGGGGGTCGGGGGTCGGGCAACACGCGTGGTTCAAATTTAATTAGCTAGCAAACGGGGCGGAGAGAGGGCTGGCCTCGGCCTGGGCCTCCCGCAGTCGCTGTGAGAACGCCAGGCGGCGTGTACAGCCCTCTCCACACCGCGGTAAAGGTAAAAAGAAGGAAAAAAAGATCGCCCTCTGACCCACAGGAGCAGCTGCGGAGAAAGGGGGCGTTTTATTTTACTTGACATTCCTCAAAGTTACTTTTGAATGCCTCCGCTGCCATGTGGCGGGGCGGCGGGGGCGGCGGGGGCGGCGAGGGCCTCAGAGAAGGCGCCGAGAGACGCTCCGCGCGTCCTGCGAGGTGCGCGACGGCGTGGGTGCCAGCGCGGTGCCACGCTAAGGGCGGAGGGGATGTTTGGGTGGAGGGGCAGGTGGAAGGGGTGAGTGGGTTGCGCCGCGCTCGGTTACTGTCGCCGTTCTTTATATCTATATATATATATACGCGCCGTGCGCTCTTCTGGGGAAACGAAATGAAATTTCTCTCACCGGCAACACTTATCACGGGCACGACCTCACTGCGTTATGAAGCCGAAGAGACCTCCCTCGACCCGCCGTGCCCGCCCCGCCCGCCCTCCGACCCTTCCGACCCCCCAGGCGGTGTACTGGTTCCAGTGCTGGGAGGGGGAGGGGAGGGGGAGTCGAGCAAACAGCAGCGACACTGTGAGAGCCACATCACCAATAGGACTGGCGGGACATGGCGGGGCATGGCGGGGCATGGCGGGGCCGCGGGGCGGTGACATTGTGCATCCTCTGACTCCAACCCCCTCCCCTTCTCCCCCTCCCTTCGGCAGCACTTACACCTTTCCCGCCCCGTCATACCGCCTGTCGGCTCCGACACGACACCTCGCCGAGGCGGCCGAGGCGCAGACATCGCATGCGGGGATCGGATCGGGAACGGATAATGCGGTGTCATTCTGGCGTATTAATACATAACACTGCTTTCAGCCTTTTGTCTCTCCTGTGTACGCCGCCTCGCGCCCCCTTCGAGCACTTCCAGCGCTTCCCGCACGTACACTGTAAACCACACTCCGCTTGGAGCAAGGCAGGGTTGGAACGTACCCGGTGATGCTGTCGGCGCCGAGTCAGCCCCTACCCTTTTGGTCGTGAGGCACTGGGTCGCGGTGTGGTCGCGTCCGGTCGCGTCGGCCTCCTTCCAGTGCTGCAGCTCATGCATGCCGCCGGGGTGTAAACAGGCGGCCTGTCGGCCTGTCCCTGTGATTAATAATGGCAGGAGTCCGGCTGACCTCCCGTGAGGGCCCTGCGCCGCTCCCTCGGGACTCCTCGGCGGACTGATTCCGAGAGTCGTTTTCGTCGCGCTGTCCCTCTCGCACCTATACGGGACGCCCCATGAGCGCGAGGGAGACAGAGTCGAAAACGACTCTCGGAATAGGTCGGCGGGTCCGCCCTAGGACTCCCCTAGGACTTTCCATGCCGGTATGGAGCTAGGGTGACGCGCGGGGCGGTGGCGGGGCGGTGGCGGGCGCCCCCTGGGCCCGGATCCGCCTTCCTTGTCCAGCGCGCTGTTCGGGCCCCGCCCGGCTCCGCCCCTGAGCAGCTCCAGGTCGGGGCGTGCTGCCTTGCCAGGGGCGTGGCGTGGCGGGGCGTGGCGGGGCGGGGCGTGGCGGGGCGTGGCGGGGCGTGGTGGGCAAGCCCTCATCGACGACCCTGGCGGCCTGGCGGAATACGACATGGAAAGTGTACCACCGGGGGAAAAAGGATTGATTATTTGGCTGGACGCCATGCGCGAGGCTAGGCTAGGGGCGTGGGGCGAGGCCAGGCGAGGCCGCGCCGGGC